TAGAGCTAGAAATAGCTCTCTCCTATAATTGTGAAAATAAACAGTTGAAGCTATTCAAGACCTGGACTTTCAGTGCTATATAAATGTACGTGGGGACTCAGAGAGATGGTCTGGGTGGCTATTTGCAAAGAATCTTTGTGAATTTTATTTCCTTCATAAAAAAAAGGCTTCTGATCGACATGCTATCTGCCCAGTCTGTCTGTCTCCATCTGACCCAGACCTGGCAACCCGCAGTGTCCTATCCTATCACAGAAACGGGGAAAAATGAACCTTTCTGAGCAGGAAAGTACCTGGTCAGGAATACTTGAAGCCTGGCCCTTTAAGGCTCTGGGCGAAGGTGCAGGTGACGTCACAGAATCCAGGGCCTTTATCCGCACTGCCTTGGAGTTCTGGGCGGAAGTGCAGGCAGGCCAAGTTGCCACAGAAGGTGAGGAGCGGGTGACAGGCCCCCCAGGGCATGCAGGGGGGTCCGGGGGTACGGGAAGATCGGTTTCCCCGCAGCCCGCCCGAGTGGTCACTCTGAGCGCCTGAACCTCAGCGGTCTCCACCTTGTGGGCAGTGGGGTTGCTCGTGGCGGTGGCCCAGGTTGGCGGCCCCTCACCCGGGATGCGCTGAGCGCCCCTGCCGAAAGCTTTTTCTTATTTATAAATTGAGTTTGAGGGAAAGAAGGTCGTTGTTACTAAGGAGAACTTACTTAGAAAGATGCTTAAGGGGGGGACGGGGCTGGCCGGGTTCGATCCTGGCACCCCACAGCGTCCCGGTACCAGCCAGGAGTGAGCCCAGAGCCAGGGGCCTGTAATGGGGTGGGTGGGGGAGGGGAAGCACATTTATGTGCTTGTGGCTCAAAAGCATTTGGCAGAGTGTTTTTTTCTTTTTGGTTCACACCCAGCAATGCACAGGGGTTACTCCTGGCTCTGCGTTCAGGAATTACCCCTGGAGGTGCTCAGGGGACCATATTGGTTGCTGGGAATCCAGGTTGGTCGCATGCAAGGGAAACACCCTACCGTCTGTGCTGTTGCTCTAGCCCCACTTGGCAGAGCCTTTGATCTTCACTTGTTCCTTGTGCATTCAGTGGGTTCTGGGAGTACAGGGAGGTGGGGAGCTTCTCTTTACTTTTTCTTTCTTTTTTTATTTTGCTTTTTGGGTTACACCCAGCGATGCACGTGGGTTCCTCCTGGCTCTCCATTCAACAAGCACTCGTAGTGGTGCCAGGAACCATAGGAGATGCCCAGAATTAAAACCGAGTGCAAGGCAAGCACCTAACCTGCTATACGATCTCTCCAATTCCTTTATAATTTATTTTATTATACTTTTTTGGGCCACAACACCACTCAGTGCTCAGGGATTACTCTTTGTTCTGAGGTCAGGCTTCATTTTTAGCAGTGCTGGGGTGGGTAGCGTATGTACTGTTGCATATTGACCCCGGCTTAGCTGCTTGAAAGAAAAGCACCCTATCAACTTAATATATTTGTTAACCCTATATGATTATATTTCCTCAGAAAAAAGAATTTCTGCCTCACCTGTCAAGATTCCAAGCATCCATCACTGTCCATCTCTCCCAGACCAGGAGTGTGCCCTGCTGTTGAAGTGAGTACTTGCAGAAAGGGGTTTTCCCGGGACCAGCTGCAATAGGTTTTAAATGTCTCACTCTTAGGGGCTGGTCATTAGTATAGTCAGGAGGGCGTTTGTCTTTCTTATAGTGACCAGAGTTATGCCCCGACACGCCATAGGGTTCCCTGAGCATCAGTAGGTATGGCCGCAACCCTCCCACACCAGAATTTGTTTTGACACACGAGTATTCTTTGAACTTCTTTTTGGTGTTGGGATATTTCACCTGTCTTTCCCCCCCTGTTTGCTACAAACTTGGAGATAGTCAGAGACTCTCCCCACTCAGTGCTGTGTGTCTAGGATGCAGGGGGAGCCATGTCATGTCCCCCAAAGGTAAAGCAGGTGTTTAGCCTTCTGAGCTCCTCTCCCTGGGTCTAACTCACTACTTGGGGAGCAGATAAGGTAAGATTTGGGACCATACCTGGCAGTGCCTGAGGTCTGTGTCCTGCTCAGGGGACTAGGGGTAACAGGGAATGCCCTCAGGCTTTCAGTTGGCCAATATCTGCTTCAGTCTGGTGTATTCTCTCCTACTCCTCTATTCATACCTTAATTGGAAGTTCTTAAATATGAACATTCTTGAGTCCTTTGACAAAGAGGCTGTTGGGAGGAAAGGAAGGACTTGGAGGCTCTGAGTGAAATTATGGACTGTAAACTTTCACTTGGGATAATTGCAATTTTTTCTCCACTTTTTGGGTCACACTGGCGATGCTCAGGGCTTATTCCTGGCTCTGCACTCACCCTCTGTACTCAGGATGCACTCCTGGTAGTGCTCGGGGAATCATATGTGATGCCAGGAACCAAACCCAGGTCAGCTGGGTGCAAGTCAAATGCCCTGCCCATTGTACTGTCACTCTGGCCCCAAGTGTAATTTTTCATCCCCTTTTTCTTTTATAAAATCATGTACCCATAGGAGTAAAATCATATAGTCTGAAAACCTGGCATATAAGCCCTGAGCACTTCTGAGTGTGGTCCCAAAACAGAAAAAAAAAAAAAACCCAAAGGATTGACCCTTGTGAATATATTACTAGATTTCAGACCTCTGTTGTTGGCAGATAAATTCCTCATTGCCTTTATTTGGACAGGAGGGGGATTGTATGTGTGGGCTTTTGCCAAACCCAGCAGTGCTCTGGGATCACTCCTTGGTGATTCAGGATGTGAAGTTGAGTCTGCCGCATGCATGACAAGTGCCCTGCCATTCACTGTGTGCTCTTTCTGGCCCCTGCAAACCTTTGAAATTGCAGTTTGTACTTCTGGCTCAGGTTTGCACCGGGAGGCCCCAGGTGGCAGCGGCCCTGCCTGGACCTCTACCAGCTGGGCCTCATCCCTGTTTCCTGCCTGTATCCTTCTCATAAGGGTCACAGTACTTATAGAGACTTTGATTTCCTGGGGTCAGTGATAGGCCAGGATTGCACGCCCTGGCCTTGCAGGCAACCTGCCACACGGTATAATCTCCTGCACAACGCAGGATTCCTCAAGCACCACCTGGGTGAACCCAAAGATCTGCCACCTGTGGCTCCAAAACCCAAGTCTGACCTACATTCTCCAAAACTGGCTGGTGGATCTTGACACATGAACAAAAACTTTTTTTTTCTGATCATACCCTGTGGTTGCTGCTTTTGTTACCCAGTGTGGTGCCAGGGACTGAACACAGGTCAGCTGTGTACAAGGCCTATTCCCTACCAGACTATAGTTCTGACACCTAAATTTAGTTTTGGTTGGCCACGCCTAGTGGAGTTTACCCCTGGCTCTGTTTTCATTGATTGCTCTAGGTTTGGGGATCCTGTGGGGTGATGGGGACGGAACCCTTGTGAGCTGTGTGCCAGACAAGCACCTTGTGATCTGTGCTATCTCTGTAGCTATCATAAAAATGCTTTTATGCTGGGTAAAGTCCAGAACCTTGTGTTTTTTTTTTCTGATTAACTACACAATTCACTTTTTTACTTTTGTGTTTTTGTTTTGGGGCCACAGCCAGCAGTACTCTGGGTACTGGAGTAACCTGACTCTGCACTTAGGAGTCACTCCAGGTGGCTTGGGGGATCCAGTGGAATGTGGGGGATTAAACCAGAGTAAGCTGCATTCAAGGCAGTTGCCCTCCCCAATATGCTGTTGCTCTGGCCCGGGGCCTAATTCTTCTCTGTTCCACTATATTTCTGTTTAGATATCATAGCATTTTCAGTTCAAGTGGATCTATGAACCGTGAGATAGGAGAGCAGGTCAGCTGCTTGCCCTGCCCTACCTGAGAGCAATTTCAGACTCCAAAGCAGAAACTTCTGGTCAGGACCCTGGCGTTTGTGCACCTCTGTCATGCTCACAGTGCTGACGTCTCTAGATCTTTGCACGGAGCTTCCTGCTGATACTCAGGAATTATAGGTGGGAGAAGATGATGTTGCGCTGTCTGACCCACCGTCCATAGGGAGGAGGAAAGTGACTAGATGATATGGTGCAGTGACAGGAGCGCATAGGCCTTCAGGTCTGAGTGTCTCTAGAGTTGTTTCAGGAGGGAGCACTGGCTCTACTCATATATGTGAGGTAGGAGGGAAGACCTTTAATTTATTTTCAGGTTCTTTCTGAGCATAGGAAAGTTTATACAGGAATGAAACATTATTCATGTCATGACTGTGGGAGGGTCTTCACTTTCTTTTTTTTTTCTTTTTGGGTCATTCCTGGATCTGCACTAAGGAGTTACTCCTGGAAGTGCTCAGGGTACCATATGGGATGCTGGGAATTGAACATGGGTCGGCTGCATGGGATGCTGGGAATGGAACATGGGTCGGCTGCATGCAAGGCAAATGCCCTACCCGCTTTTCTAAGGGGGCTAAGGGGCTGGAAACCACCGAACTCCTTGGCAAAGCTGTTTTTTCGATGATGTTTTCTCCTTTGCTTCCCTCCCAAGCTCCCAAGTGGAGGAGAGGGGGCAACCATGATGCTTTCTGTTGGGAGGGCAACAGCAGTGCTCAAGAAATCGATGGGGTTCTCCACTGGCAATTCCTGGACAATAGGGTGGCAGTTCATTGCAGAGTCTCGAGGTTGAGGTACTGGAGGTCACCTGGGCAACCCTGGGCTGACACCCGAAAGGGCCTTTAGAGAACCCAGCCATTCCTAGGAGACCAAGTGTCTGTGTGGTGCTGGAGATTGAACCCACACATACCATGCTTGCAACCTCACTCCTGTATCATCTCCCAGTCCCTGCAATGACACGTGTAGAGAGGAGAAAAAGGAGGCCCAGAGAGGTGCAGCAGCTTCCCTGAGGTCACACAGCATGAAGGAGGATCTTTGCTCTGGTGATATTCAGGGCAGCAAGAAGTAGGGAGGATGGCCAATCACCCCAACCACCACCCCACCCCTGTTCCCAGGTCTGAGTGGAATTGACCCACAAGGAGGCTCTGTGCAGCATGTCCAAGTCAGGATCCCCCTTGCGTCAGAGGGTGGTCGTGCCCCCAAGCTCATCCAAGAGGGTGCCCTACATGTTCATTCCTCTGGAGCCCGGTCAGGTGGACTTGGAGGTGAAGGTCGTGAGCATCGAAACCTGGGACCACGTGAGGAAGACCAACCTGGTCCAGGTAATGGACCAGAGCAGAGATGGGGGAAGTGGAGCGACCCTCCCCAGGCTACCAGCTAGTCTCCAGGTGGGACAGTTGGGAGCTGGGCCTTGGGTCAATTAACAGGCCCCTGGATGGGAGTGAGGGGGCGCACCAGGACACAAAGCCCAGCACAGCCCTCATGCAGCACCAGGCTCTGCATTCTCTTACAGTTTCCTGTGGGACGTCCAGAACCTATTTCTGAGTGAGGAGCATGTGAAAGTCAAATAGCTCCACCAAATACTATTGCGCCCCAAGCAAGTAAAGAATCATCCCCTGAAGCCCCCACGAGGCAGGAGGCTAGTACACCAAGAGGACTTTTGCCTTGTATGATGCTGACCAGGATTGAAGCCAGCATCCTATAGGATCCCCTGAGTTCAGAGCCAGGTATTAGCCATTAACAATTTTTTTAAAAGGAAAAGAAGAGGGGCTGGAGCAATAGCACAGCGGGTAGGGTGCTTGTGTTGCACGTGGCTGACCCAGGTTCAATTTCCAGCATCCCATAAGGTCCCCTGAGCACTGCCAGTGGTAATTCCTGAGTGCAGAGCCAGGAGTAACCCCTATGCATCACCACGTGTGACCCAAAAAGCAAAAAAATAAATAAAAATGAAGAGCACTTTACACTTCACAAATATTAGAGGGGAAAAAAGCCTGAAACTCTTTGCTTTTGAAAGCAGTAAAAACCCCAATAATCTAGTGGTAACTAGGATGCTATAAATCATTTAGGTTTTCGAAAAGGCTAAATAAGGCCTTTTGATCAGGAAAGTTTGCTAACTGTGAGCTCAGTATACACCTCCATTCTAGGATGGGTACTTATGCTGGGTTGTTTTCTTTCAATAATGTTTCTTATTTGGAACCACACCTCACACTTCCTAGTGTCAGGTGGTGCTCAGGTAACCATTTGGGATGCCAGGGATGGAACTCAAGTTGACCAAGTTCACTGCAAGTGCTAACCCACTGTACTCATCACTCCTGATCCATACTCTGGGTTTGAAAATGTATTTCTGAAGCCTCCCCATGGAACTTTCCTTGCCGGTGACTTTCCATTGCTTGAGTGTTGTCAGGGGTAGACCATTAACACATAAAGTGCTCTCAGATGTCCTTAGCAGCCTTTCTTTCCTTTCCAGTTTCTGTCCAGCTCTCAGGTGGCTGCTCTCTGTCTGGATTGTTCCAGTTCTTCTCCAGGGCTGGCTGCCCTGTCACTGCTTTCACCACCATCTTGATTTGTTACTTCCCAGAGAAACTCACTGTCCTGTGCCCCACCCATTCCCTATCTGCCTGTTTTACCCGGATCAACCCTGTTTTAGTTTTCCTGATGGCCTTGTGTGTGGGAGCATTGACTCCACACTTGACTGGCCAGTAATGCATCAGGGGACTTCTTCTTACACGAGCTCCCATGCTCACCAGCTACTGCAGCAGCTGCCTCTCAACTCCCTTATTAAATCCATTCCCCTCCAGTCACTGATTCTCCTGGGTGGGGATAATGGTTCTCTGCACATCTGGAGTCTGGCCCTTTAAGGCTGCTTGGAGGACTGGAAGTGACATCACAGTGGGGCCTTCCTGCTGCTTCTCTTCCTGGAAACGGGGCCAGAGAGTTCTTATTCAGGTGGGTGAAGGACCAAGTGGGCCCCAGCGAGGTAGCGGGAATCTGAAGGCTGATTTTGTCTTGCTGCAGGTCGGGGGTGGCCTCCCGTGAGCGCCCCGCACCTCCCCGTCTCCACACTGTGAGCCGCAGACCATGCCAGCCTCTCGCGCTTGTTTTTCTTGTGTTCCCCAATATCCAGGCAGTTCCTGAGGTATGATGGAGTCTTTTGTTGGGCGCGGAGCTTTGGGAGGTTCATCGGGGGCTCTAGTGGGATGCGGGAGTCGCGGGTGTGAGTGCGTGATCCTGGGGGTCCGCTGTGGCCACGGGAGCTGCGGACCTTGGGGTGCAGGAGCTGCCAAGGGCGGGGCCTTAGCCTTCCCGACCCTCCCGGCTGACTCATGTTGGTTCCTTGTCCCAGTTTCGCTGTTGTAGAATCTCCAGATTCACTTTGAGGGCCAGAGCTGACACCCCCCCCTCAAAAAGGCTTTAGACCCTGTTGCCGTCCAGCTTTTTCATTGGCTGCCCTCGTGGGTCAGGCCGGGAAGGTGTATCTGCAGGTGGCCAGGTTTGCCAGTGATACTTTCCTTTTGGAGCTATTTCTGGAGTAGGGAATGGGGGACTCTGCAATCCCGGAGATACCCTGAGGTCTTACTCAGACTCTGCCCTCAGATGTTATTCCTGGCAGTGCTCTGGGGGCCGTGGGGATGCAGAGGATTGATTAGTGTCAGCAAATCAAGCATCCTAACAGGTTTACTGTATGTTGGAATAGGAATATCTGCTTCCTCACATCAAGTTGCAAAGTCCTGCCTAGACTGCTGGCTATCAAGGTGAGTATTCGGGGGTAAAGGGTGTATCTGTGCGTGCTTGCGTATTTGTGTACTGCTGGTAAAAGTGTATGTCTGTAGAAAGTTTTTATTTATTTTTTTGCTTTTTGGGTCTCACCCAGCCGATGCTCAGGCGTTACTCCAGGCTCTGTACTCAGGAAGCACTCCTGGCGGTGCTTAGGGGACCATATGGGATGCTGGAAATTGAATTCGGGTTGGCCGCGTGCAAGGCAAACACCCTGCCCACTGTGCTATTGTTCCAGCCCCTGTAGAAAGTTTTTAGAAAAATTTATTTATTTGCTTTTTGGTTCACACCTGGCGATGGGTTACTCCTGGTTCTGCTCTCAAGAATTACTCCTGTGGTTCTCAGGGGAGCATATGGAATGCTGCGAATTTAACCCAGGTTGGCCACTTGCAGAGCAAACTGCCCTACCCACTGTTTGACCACTCCAGCCCCTGTTTTCTTTTTTCTTTTTCTTTAAAGAAGAGAGAGGCTCCCCCATGCAATCATAACCCAAACTGTGGCTCTTTCATGGGGCCAGAAGGGGGCGCTGATGCACGGGATTTCTTGGCCTCAGAGTCCTTCCTGGCTGGGCCTGTGAAAACCTTCTGTGGGATCCGGGAGGGGTCTCCAGACCAAGGAAGGGCTGACTTTTCTCTCTTGTGGCCAAACCCAGAACTTGTGTCGCGAAAGGCAGCACAGATGCCAACCCATTTTGCTTCTCCTGGGGAGAAAGAAGCATTAGTCAGTGTCCCCCAGGCGGGTCTTTGAGCCAGTGCCCAACGGTGTGGCTGGTCAGAACTTGGGGCTTTTGCTCCTGTCCAGTGCTCACAATTCTGACTTGTCCTCCAGGTTTCTGATCCTCGGGAAAAACAGAGGCAGGAGAAGATGGTGAGCTGCCATCGGACACACCGAAGCCAGGTAGGAGTGACAAAATGAGGTTATGCAGTGCCAGGAGCGTCAGGCTTCCTGGGATTTCTGTCTCTGACTTGCTTCAGGAAGGATCCTGCCGCCTTGTGAGAGCACCTTGCTCTCTGCAGTATGCGGCCACGTTTGTGTCAGTTTCCTTATATTTGGCTTTAGAATCACAGCATCTCAAAGATTACTGGTGCTCAGGGATGACACCTGACATGTCTCAGGGACCATATGGGGTGCTGGGTGTCAAAGGTTGGTGTCTGGGTATTTTGTTTTCGGAGCCACATGCAGTGATTCTGGGGATTATACTCTTGGCCCTGCACTCTGGCATTGCACTTGGCAGTCCTTAGAGGACCCTATTGCATGGCGGGTATCACCAGCCCTACCCACTGTCCCCAACTTACGGTCCTGTTACACAATCACGCTGCTTTGTTTCTTTTCGTAGTCACTTTTGTGCCACAGGGGAGATGCTCAGGACTTCCTCTTGCCTCTGTGCTCCGGATTTCCACCTGATATGCATCATGGTTCCCCGGGTGCTCTGGTCCTCTTTGTGCCCTGGCAGCTACAGTAACTCGGGCCCCAGGATATGTTTCCACTATTTTGTCCTCACTCTGGAGGGCGTCTTCTACTCTGTCACAGAGTCCAGCATTCATTGGCTGCTCTGTTTGCAGTTCTGGGCATGTGTTGGTCCCAGGGAGACAAAGCAAAGGATCTCTGGGGCCATCAAAGCTGTTGGGATTAAGACACTTTGAGAGGCATTTGCGGTGGCCCTGAACCATGATCAGAGTTCAACAGGCACATACGTGAATGCACAGCTTTCAGTCAGTGACTGGACATTGAGTGTCCCCTTCTCCCTAGAGCATGGGCTGTGGGATGCAGGGGGTGTGTGTTTCGTGTTTTGAGCTTAAAGCAGGGTTACTCATTTGGGTCCCACTGATTGTGTGTTCAGTTTTTACTCTCGGCAGTGCTCATAGGAGCAGTGGTGGAATTCCCTGGGGTCAGGAGCAAGTCTGCCACCTTCAGGAACATTCTAGTACAGCATCCTCACATTTTCATAGATGCAGCTGTCTTAGAGAGAAGTTGGGACCTGTCTGCCAGGAATTCGGGTGAAGCCTGGTTCCTCCCAAGGGGACAGACCCTGAGCCCCTCTAGGACCTTGTGGACCAGGCCTCACAGACCAGGGAACATGGTGGGGACAGACCCTGACTCCTGCCCCCTTTGTATGCCGGCTCAGGACACGATGACCTTCCCTGACGTGGCCGTGAGCTTCACCCCAGAGGAGTGGACATGCTTGGATGCCTCTCAAAGAAAGCTCTACAAGGACGTGATGCTGGAGACCTACCAGCACCTGCAGGCTATTGGTGAGAGCAGTGCGGGGCCAACCTGGTCTGGACAGACCCGTGTGGGCTTCTTGTGCTGGGTCCTGATTGTGTGTCCAACAGTCTGATGGTCCAGGACTAACATCCGTGCAGTAGCTGTTTCTCTAGTTCCTTTCCTCGTTCTCTTGTTGGTGCTCACCTGGCGATGCTCAGGGCTTACTCTAAGCTCTGTCCATAGGAATCAGTCTCTGTGGGTTTGGATGAATCTGCAGTGTTGGGGATTGACCCAGGTTGGCCTCTGAATGCAATCTCCCCGCACGCTGAACCATCGCTCAGGTCTCTCTAAATAGTTCCTGCCATTGCTGAGTTCTCTTCTCTGATCACTTCTAGTGCTACACATAATTTTTATTTATTTGTTTTGGTTTTGTTTTTATTTGGGGCAAAATCTGAATCCTTTTGTCTCTGTGCTGAGGGATCACTCCTGGGGGTGCTCAGGGGCCATGGGGTGCTGAGGATTGAACACACTTGGCAGCTTAAAAGGTTGCTATCTTAATTCTGATACTATTGCACCTGGCCCACAGCTTCAGTTATTTTGTTTTGTTTTGATTTGGTTTTGGGGGTTATACTTACAAATACTTAGGGATTATTTCTGGCTGTGTATTCAGTTATTCATCCTGGTTGTGGTCCAGGACATTGTGTGCTGCTGGGGATCAATTCTGTACGTGTGTGCAGTGTCTATGTCCTGCCTGCTGTAATATCACTCCCAGAATAGCTCCTTTATTTCTTAGGGCATCACCCCATCAGATGCTATTCTCATTTCAGTGCTCGTGGTCAATCCCAGTGGTTCTCGGTTCATCAAGACTCAGGGTTTGTGTCTGAACTATGCAGTTAGGGATCACAGATGATGGCTTGAGAGACCCTCCTGAATGTCTGGATCGAACCTTTATTGACCTTGAGCAAGTGCCTGACCTGCTGTGCTGTCTGTCTGGATCCTTTTGTTTATTTTTCAAACCAACTGGGGGCTATGGTCATCTTTGGCCATCTTTGGATTTGTTAAGCTTTGGGGTTTACTGCACTAAGGCATCAGTTCACGCAGGCTCAGGACATTGCATGTGATGCCGAGCCTAGAGTGACAGTACAGCGGGCACCGTGCTTGTCTTGCAAGATCTGGACATGCTTTCTATACTCAACATCCCATGTGATCCTCAAGCACCACCAATGGTAAGATTTCTGAGTACATGGTCAGCGAGAAGACTTGAGCATCCCCAGGTGCGGATCCTGAACTAGAGAAAAAAAAATACTACATACTGTGCTGTGATCAAACCCCTGATGGCCCTTTAAGACCTAGGCTATACTGTTTGTGGTATTTTCTGGGGCCCCATATTTCACTCTTAAATTAAGACCTGAATGTTAGCTCTTGGATAACTCCAAATCTGGAGCATTTATTCGTGCAGATTCTGTTCATGGCTTTCCAGTAATTTACTCTATTTTATTGGTACACATGGGATTTATTTGTCATGTTCTCCTTGTCTCTCATCCATGCTCCATCTCTGTGAGGTTCAGGGCATTCTGGGGTGAAGCCTGCGGTGATCTCCTGGCTGGAAGGAGGAACCCTGAGGCTGGGGAGGAGAAGCATGTATGCAGGTGAGTGTCTGAGAACCTTCCCTGGCTCAGGCCCTGGGCAGTGTGTGGGTGCCCTGAGCACACGTGAAACTCGCTGTTGACCCTGATACCTTGGGTTCCTGGATCCAGGCATCTGTGCTGCATTCACGCTGCCATGGATTGTCTGTCGTAGAATAATCTTGTGCTTTACCTTCTTGGCTTTGACATTATTTTTCCTCTTCTTCCAGTCGATAAAATTCTCACTCCTTGGTCCCCCTGTCTTTCCCTTACTGACCTGTCTGTACAGCCTATAATGTTGCTGTACCTTCAAAATATTTTTTGTCATTTTCGTTTAGTTAATAAGTAAGGCCACAATAAAACTATTTTGCCTCTGAGTGATAGTAATGCAGGAAATGCGCTTGTCCTGCACACTGTCCACCTGGTTCAATAACCAGCATCCCATATAGTTCCCTGAGCATCACTGCGAATTTTTAACAAAAAAAGGAAAAATGTCTTGTAGGATTGCCAAGCTTTTCGCAGCAATCCTCTGCGGAACCTTCCCTTTTCTGTGGGATACTTTGGACTGTGAGGACCATAGAGATGTCCTCAAGCTGTACTGCCTGGTTAAGGATGTTCCATTCGAAGAATTCTTACATTGTATATTGGGTTTGGTTTCAGAACTCAAAGGACGGCTTCAAGATTTGGGAACTCAGTCACCGAGTATGAGTGAGCCGGTAAGATTTGCAACTTTGGAATCAATATTATAATACTAATGGAAAATGTCAGTGGACCAGCATGTTATTTTTAAAGTGCAGGGCCAGGAATGGCCGGAATGAAATTCAGAGTATGATGCTTGAGGTCGAGGACCCTTATATTCACTGGGTGCTGACATCTCTGCTCAAAACCTAAAGAAAATTGTAATATGTTTCACGTAAATGCCGTGCTTTTTCATTTGATTGAAAGTATCTACAAATGGTAATTGTGAAAAGACCTGGTCTTTTAAGCAGGTCCATCCACATTGCTCCATGTGTTTCCCAGAGGCCTACTAGGAATAATCTCCGAGCACTGTATGGTGTACCCCCACCCCGAAGTGAAAACAAAATACAGAACAGAAAAAGTCATTGATCCTGAAAAGAATCTGCCAGCAGGTTAGATGTTTTCATTGGCCCCTGTGCTCAGTCTCAGCAGTGTTGGATGCAGCATTTCTTCATAAATGCTTTCCGGGCTGTACTCCACATTGAAGTAGAACTGAACCCAGAGTGTAGTGTTTTATTTTCTCTTGAATATGGTGCATCAGTTTTCTGTGGAGGGAGTTATTTCTGCTTGTTCATTAAGTTGAAAAAAATATTTAACAAATTAATGGCCCCTCATTCATCAATTTCCCATGTGTGTCTTATAGATACATTAGGTTAGTTCATGGTAATGCCATCCGCCTGTCGGGAATTGCATTGGTGTGGTGCAAATGTTAGAAACCAATCTGCATGTACCAATTTCATGTAACATGGAGACTCTTAAGGCATAGAACGATAATTGGAATTGTCTGCTGTTCTACAGGGAAGCAGCCAGCCCGAATGGAATGACTCTGACCCTTCAGACTGTGAAAAAGTCTCGAGTGTGCATTTGTGCCCTCAGCCACATGGGGATGCCAAGGCAGGCAGGATGGCCTCTGAGGGTGATCAGAATAAAGAGAGCAACCTCACTCTGAAGAATTCCTCTCCTGGGAAAATGTTCACACAGTCTGTTCTTCTCAGTCCACGGACACAAACCCCAACATTGGGGCAGAACCTAGAATGTGGTAGAGGAGCACTGTTTATAGTGAGTCCTTCACACCAAAAGGGCCACAAGCAAAGTCAACATGGATTGACCCTGTCCAAGAGTAAGGACTGTGGGGGAGCTTTCCCTTGTTCCCAGAACCATGATGTTCCCTTAGAAACCCACAGTGGAGAAAATCCCCAGGAGTGTCAGCAGCAAGGACATGGTTTGAATCCACTGTTACCCCTTTGTGATTACATGAACATCCACACTGGAGGGAAATCACATACATGTAAGGACTGTGCGAAGGCCTTCACTCGACCTTCAGAAATCTTAAAACATTGTAGAATTCATACTGGAGAGAAAGCATATGTGTGTGAGCAATGTAGGAAGGTCTTTGCTCACTTCTCACACCTTTTTAGACACAGGAAAGTTCATCCTGGAGAGAAACCTCATAAATATAAGGCACGTGCAAAGGCGTTCACTCAATCATCAACCCTTACTGGGCATATGAAAACTCATACTGAAGAGAGGCCTTATGTATGTAAGGAATGTGGGAAGGCGTTTAATTATTCCTCAGGCCTTACACGGCATATGAGAATTCACAGTGGAGAGAAGCCTTATGGATGTAAGCTATGTGGAAAGGCCTTCTCTGTGTCCTCAAGCCTTGATGTGCATATGAGGATTCACAATGGAGAGAAGCCTTATGGATGTAAGGTATGTGGAAAGGCCTTTGTTGCATCCTCAAACCTAATTAGCCATATGAGAATCCACACTGGAGAGAGACCTTATGTTTGTAAGGAATGTGGGAAGGCCTTTGTTGAATCCTCAGGCCTTACTCGGCATACGAGAATTCACAATGGAGAGAAGCCTTATGTATGTAAGGTTTGTGGAAAGGCCTTTGTTAGTTCCTCAAGCCTTAATTTGCATATGAGTATTCACAATGGAGAGAAGCCTTATGGATGTAAGGTATGTGGAAAGGCCTTTGTTGTATCCTCAAGACTGATCACCCATATGCGAATTCACACTGGAGAGAGACCTCATGTCTGTAAGGAGTGTGGGAAGGCCTTTGTTTCTTCCTCACACCTTAATGATCATGTGAGAATTCACACTGGAGAGAAACCTTTTGTTTGTAAAGAATGTGGGAAGGCCTTTGTTTGTTCCTCAAACCTTACTGTTCATGTGAGAATTCACACTGGAGAGAAACCTTTTGTTTGTAAGGAATGTGGGAAGGCCTTTCGTCGGCCCTCAGGCCTTACTGTACATAGGTCAGTTCACGCTGGAGCGAAATCTTTTATATGTCAAGAATGTTGAAAAGCCTTTCTGTTTCTTTCTCTTCTTAGGAAATATAAAATTCATAAATAGAACATTTTGGTAATGTCTATTGTGTTTGGACCATGGGATGCTGTGCTACAAAAGTGCAGCCAGGAAGGAAATAATCCTGGTAATGTGTAACAAACTTTCCTTGATGTCAGTCTATAAGGGAAAGTCTATGCCAGTGTCCCTGAATTTGAACTTGATGTGTATGTTAATATGTACTTTTTAGATTTTCTGGTGAAATCTAAGAGGAATGCGAATAAAAATGCAAAAAAAATTCCCTTTGCTCAGGGCTGTCAAGGTCAAGAGTGGCCTATTTAGTACCAGGATTTTGCTGCATAGCTTAGAGGCCAGCCACACTTGCTAGGGGAAAAGGCAGCTCAGTTAGAGAAGGCGTACCAAATAAAGGGTGTTAGGAGGATCCTCCCAGGATGGGAGAAGCATGCTGAAAGTAGAATATAGACCAAACATGGTTACCACTCAGTGCCTCTTTTGCAAACCCCAACACCCAAAAGGAGAGAGAGAACAAAGGGGAATGCCCTACCACAGAGAAAGCGTGGGATGAGGGGATGGGTGGTGGGAGGGATACTGGGGTCCCTGGTGGCGGGAAATGGGTACTGGTTGAGGGATGGGTATTTGTTCATTGTATAATTGAAACCGAAGCATGAAAATTTATAAGTCTATAGCTGTACTTCATGGTGACTCACTAATAAAAATCTTTAAAAAATGTGAATAAAAAGGCAAAAAAATCTCTTCTCTCAGGGCTGTCAAGGCTAACCATTGTCTTATTCTTTGTTGTGACTCTGGTTTGACTTTTTTTTTTGCTTTTTGGTTCCCGCTCAGTGATCCTCAGGGGTTACTCCTGCCTCCACAATCAGTAATTACTCCTGGCAGGGCCTGCGGACCATATGGAATGGCAGGGATTGAAACTGGCTGCCCCATGCGAGGAAAAAGCCCTCCCCTCTGGACTATTGCTCATGTCCCAGTGACTTGGTTTTGAGGCCCTGGGTTTGGGGGATTATGGCAGAGAAACAGCCACACCTTCGTCCTTCAGGGCCTCCTGATTCCTGTTCTTCGGAGCCACAACCAGTTGAGTCTTACTCCTCGCTCTCAGCTCGGTCACCCATACCTGGGGGACTCAAGATCATTATGGGGTACTGTGGTTGGAATCCAGGTGGGCTGTGTGTGACCAGCTCCTTCCCCTATGCCATCTCTGCCACCCATGTGTTCAGGTACTGGTTAATTTTGTGTCAGTTTAAAGGATAAATAATTCTGAAAGTTTTATCTTAGTTAAATGGCTCAGGCAAGGTTCTTTAGTGGAGTGCCGTGAAGACAGTTTGTTTTTTAAATTTTAAACTTTGTTTTTCCCATCTTTTTGGGTCATACCCTGAAATACTCAGGGATTACTCCTGGTGGTGCTCCGGGAACCCTGTTAAACCTGGTGCAAGGCAGATTTCCTGTCTGTTGTACCTACTATTGGAAACAGTTTAAATGAACTTTACAGTGTGTAGAAAGACATATAAAAGGATGGAAGGGGCCTCTTGAATCAAATGTTTGACAAGTGCCGGGAATATGGGTCAGCTCTCCACAGCCCAGCAGGCCGTTCTGTTTACCTCTGATTTTTCACAAAGTTGGTCATGTTCCCCATCAGTTCAATAATAATACAGAAAAAAGGTAAGTGTTGTATTTATTTATTTATTTATTTTTATTTATTGAATCACTGTGGGGAAAGTTGCAAAGCTTTCAGGTTTAAGTCTCAGTCATGCAAATATCAAACACATTTCCCTTTACCAATAATTATTTTTCACCACGAAGAACCCCAGTAACCCACCCAACCCTCCCAATGCCCGTGAGGCAGATGAATTCTAATTAACACTCTATCTACTTTGATTAGATTCATTGTTTTGACAAAAGATTCACCATTATTATTTATAGTTTACATCCCCAAATCAGACATGCTGAAAAGGCATTGTGAGATAATTTGTTTTCTACAGCTGGTCACAAGAATTAAATGATGTTTTGTGGCCATGCGATTTTGGATTTCTGGTATTTTGCTTATTAAGCCTGGAAGTATTTCTGCTGAGAGTCAGATAATTATGAAATTGGTTTCTGTGCTCTGTAGCTGTGGCTGTGCCAGAGAGCCGCTCGTGGGGGGCAACTCCTGACCTCGGTAGGGCGTGAAGAACAATCTGGGAATGCCCAACTTCCCATGAGGTTTCAGTTGCCCCATCACGACCAGCTCATACCTGGCTTTCCATAAAGCTCCGGAGCAGCTGCCATCTTTCTTTCCAGAGGGAAAAGGAGGAAGGGAGCAACACCCTTTCCCCTCCGGGCAGGCATGGTGGCATGCATTAACGCATAGTCCATTTACTTTTCTGCTGCAAGCTGCCGGGCTCTGCATTAAGTCCTTGTGCTTCTGGAGCCATGGTCGTGCCGGAGACCCACTCGTGGGGAGCAACTCGTGACCTCCAAGTGTTGTATTTAGAATTAGCAAAGTCCCAGAATGATAAAAAGGATTCAGATCTTCTTACAGGACAAAAAAGGCTCCAAGGTGACCAATATGACTTGCTGCCAATTAACGTCCATTTTTTTGGGTCAGAATATATGATGTTGGTGCAACCGGGCAGTGTTCAGGGCCTGCTCCTGGCTTTGCACTTTGATGGTTCTCGGGACAATTTAGAATTCTGAGAGTTGAACCCAGATCGACCCCATGAAAGGCAAGCACCACAAGTGACAAAGCAACTGTACTACACTCTTGCCCCATACTCTGGATTTAAAATTGTGCTTCTGAAACTGTTTTCTTTTTTGGGAAGAGTGCACTGGTTTGGTGTTTTCAAGGGGTAGTGTGTTGACTAGACCATGCTCTCTGATGTTCTTACCAGCCTCTGCTCCTGTTCCAGTGTCTGTCCAGCTCTCTGGGCTGCTGCTAGGCCAGTTCCTCTCTGCATCTCCAGGACTGACTTTGCAGTCACTGTTTTCACATCATCTTGATTACTTCCCCAAGAAACTCAGCACCCGGTGAATAGTACCAACCTTCCTGTTTTATCTTGAATCAATCCAGCTGCGTTTTTTTGATGGACTGTGTGTGGGAGCATTGGGTCATTGTTTGACTGACCAGGACAGGATCAGGGGTCTCCGTATCCACAGCCCCACACTGTGTGACCCACCACTCTCCGCAGCTACTTCTCCACACCATCACTTCCAGCTCCATGAATGGTCAGCAGCAGGTGGGCATGGGGCAGAGCACAGGGGCTGAGTTCGGTTCCTGTGGGACCTGCATAGGGCAGGGCTTCACTGTCTCAACCCTCCCAGCATGGGACTTTGCTCTGCTCTGTTCCGGAGCATTTGGCCCTGGCATCACTCATGTAGAACCTTCAGATTCAATTCAAAGGGTAGGGTCCCAGCCCCCTTGTAGTAGCAGACACAGTTGTCCTCTGTCCTTTGACTTTCATGATATGGCAGGGCCACATGTTGGTTCAGTCCCTCCAGGAGGCTAGGATTTGCAAATGAAACCTTTTCAGTATCATTTGTTTGATTTTGCTTGTGTACCATATCCAGAGATGCTCAGGGTCTACTTTTTTTGGCTTTTTGGGTCACATTCAGCGATGCACAGAGGTAACTCCTGACTCTGCACTCAGAAATTACTCATGGTGGTGCTCAGGGACCATATGGGATGCTGGGAATCGAACCCAGGTAGGCTGCACGCAAGCAAATGCCCTACCCACTGTGTTATCTCTGCAGACCCACTTAGGGTTCAGAAATTGCCTCCTGGGTTTTCCTTTTTGATGCGTGTTCACTGCTCGCGTGTTGGCAATCATCGAGCATTGACTGGACAGTGTTCACTGATGTTCTCTACGAGCCTTTGCTCATGTTCCAGCGTCTTTCCAGCTCTCTGGGCTGCTGCTAGGCCAGTTCCTCTCTGCTCTTGTGCTGGCTTAGAGTCACTGCTTTTACCCTACCTTGATTGATGATTGCCTGGAGAAACTCACTGTCCCGTGCCCTACCTGCTCCCTATCTCCTCTTTTACTTTGAATGAACCCCCTTTGCGATTTTCCTGATGGACTGTGTGTGAGAGCATTGGCTCATTGTTTGCCCAGTATGAGACCAGGGGACTTCTTACCCCTCGCTAGCCCTCCACTGTTTGACCGGCCAGTACAGCAGCTGCCTCTCCACCCCTTTATGTGAGCCCATCCCCCTGGTGCTACAAATTCACCTGGATAGGCATAATGGTTCTCTCCTACTCTGGAGTCTGGCTCTTTAAGGCTGCTTGTGGCAACAGAAGTGACATCACAGGAGGCCCTTCCTGGTGCTTCTATTCCTGGAATTTGTGTCAGTGTTATTGTTCACGTGGGTAAAGGACAGTGTAGGGCACCTGTGATGAAGTGGGACTCTGAAGGCCAACTTTGTGGAAGAACGGGGGTGATCTCCCGTGAGCTCCTGGTGGTTCCCCTGGTGTCCACACTGAGCTGCGGGTCCTCGGCAGCTTGGGGAGGACTTTTGCACTTGTTTTTCACTTGTTCCCTGATATCAGGCGATTCCTGAGGTGCGGTGGATCTTTGACAGGGTCAAGGGAGGAGGATGTGAGTGAGTGATCCTGGGGGGCTCCTGCGGCCACAATTGCCTCCAGCTCTGCAATAGAGCATCAGCGGGTGGATACGGGGCTGAGTGCGGGGGCTGTGGGCCTTGGGGGTGAGGGACCTGCCGAGGGCATGGGATTGGCAATCCTGCCCTCCAACTGACCTACATTAGGACTTTGGCCCGTGTCTCGCTGCTGTAAAATCTCCAGATTTACTTTGGGCAGAGTTGCAGCTCCTGCAATGCCAAGAGACCCT